GAGTCTTATCGAGCCTAGCCAAGCTCGGCTCGTTTAGTTTAAGAGCACTAAAATAGAGTGGTTATGGCTAATAGAGTTGGACTTTTCAATCCTTATCTTGTAGCTCTTATCATCTATTCCTACATGAGTTCTACTGCGGCCATTTTTCCTTGATCTTTTATTGTCTTTTATTTATTTATTTATTTTTGTGTAGTTTTATTTCAGTTATTGGTAGGAATGGGGATCGTGTAGTATACCGGCCTTTTGCCTTACTGGTTTATAGCAATTTGCTTGCACCCAATTACATGGGTTGTAATACTAAAATTTTAGCACCTATTGGTGCAATTCATCGCCAAATTGACTTTTAAATAAAACAAAATGTGTATCATTACATCTGTTATAGTCTCCTGCCCAGAGAGGCTGTGAACTTGTAACTGCAACTACACGTTAAACTTGGACAATTTTGTGTTCTCGTTATACCCAACTGTGACTGGTGGAGCCTTTATTGAGTTGGAAAATTGGGTAGGACAATTTGTGCTGGTTGCAACTCAGGTCATTTGTTTTCAATTAGATTACCCTATTGAATGGGTAATTTGAAATAGGATTTTCTGTTTCATGCTACAGAGGTTTTTGTACACATCTTGTCCAAAATGGAGTATCAACTGAAAAACGAATATTTCGATCCATTAATTCGAAGAAGTGTTCATAATGATATGTCTTGTGTTTCTGAGTCTTGCTTTCCTCGATATCTGAATGCATGCATAGGGTTTAATTGTGTTATTACTCAATATTGTATCACAGATCATAGGGAATTCTTTTACTTTGTTGCATTCATTCGTATTTTCTCATAGTTTTTGAGTTCTGTACGTGTACAGGGTTGTGAGCATGAGGTTGCTGAAGCTCAAAAAGGTTCCTCTGATAAGGTGAAAAATGAATGCATTATGCGCTTATCTTGGGCCCTCGTTCACTCCAAAAGGCCTCAGGATGTTCAACGTGGAATAGCTATGCTGGAAGGTGATAACTCTCTCTCTCTCTCTCTCTCTCTCTCTCTCTCTCTCTCTCTATGTGTGTGTGTGTGTGTGTGTGTGTGGAGGAGGAGTTTTTTCGCGAATCTCAATATCACTGTGGAAAAGTCCTGAATTAATTGGCATTAACTCTCAGTTACATTATTTTTTTATTGTTGTCTCATCAACCGCTATCTATTTGACAACAAATCCCACCTACAGCTCAACTGGATTTTACTCTTTTTGACACCCTTGAAAAATTGTCCCTTGCAGCTTCTCTGGCTGCCGGGTCAAGCAGCCCCTTGCAGGAGAGGGAAAAGCTTTATCTTCTTGGTGTTGGACACTACAGAAGCGGGGACTACTCCAGGAGCAGGCAGCTT